TTTTTTTTTTTTTTTTTTTTTTTTTTTTTTTTTTTTCAAAGTCTTCGTTTAGAAAGAGCGAATAAAAAGAAAAAGAAATGTTCGAGTCTTATATCCTTATATGAATTTTCTACGCACCAGCTTCGTCGAGTAATTTCCCAGAGGCGTACGTATTTGTAACACAGCCAGTCGCGCATTGTGTAATATTAACGACAATGACACCGCGTCTCGTCGCTGCGGAAAGTTCATTAATTATATCCTCTCGATTCATGGGCACGTTCCCCGCTCCGTAGGATTGTAGCACAACGCCTTCGATCGGGGGTTGTAAAAACGCCTTTATCAAGTGTGTCGTCATACTTGGAAATATCCGCAGCAGTCCAACATTCCTGTTCAAGGACGTGTGTACGTGAAACTTTTCCAACGTGCACGGTCGAAATATTGCCCGATAATCCACTGCAATGCAGACATACGCTTACTGCGACGTTGATAAAACGTCGTGGCTTACATTAAAGTCATTCTTAAATGACAAATGTAATAGCTCATGGCTGTGTTTTAATACATTCCCTCTTTAACTACGTTAACAGCATTTTTAATGCTACTGTTCGTAGCGAAGCTCGACACGTGCATATCGCAACAAATTAACATACACGTATGACACATGTGTTAACACAAGTATCATATGTTATGATAATGGTGATATATAATTATCGCTTTCTAAACTGATTTAGATTTCATCGCTTAGAGTTGCGATACTGTTTCCTATGAATTACATTTATTGTCGTTACATATCTATCGATTTGCGCTTAGAGTTAAATTTAATGGTGAGAAGTATATATCCCGTGAATGCAAACGAAATGAAGGAAACCACAATCAATTAAGGGAGACTGCATCCGGCAAATTGGGTCAATTGCTAACCTTCTATCTTGATGTTGGCCTTGGCCAAAGGTGGGAAATTCGGCGAATCGAACGCTTCGAACGAAGTGGCTGATATTTTACAGGTGCGGTTCCCTCTCATCAAGTTCGTCCCGAAGTACACGCACACTTCTGGTATGTTGTAATTTGCGGCTATTATTAGCGACGACAGGAAGTTGTCCAAACCGTCGCTTCTGCTGTCGAAAATCGGGACCTGGGAGCCGGTTAAAATAACTATCTTGCCTAAAGATTCGAGCATAAAAGACAGAGCGGACGCCGTGTAACTTAACGTGTCCGTTCCATGTAGAACGACAAATCCGTCAAAGTGTTCATAAGCTAGCTAGAAAAAAAAACAAACGGTCATACATAATATACATATATATATATTGAAAGTAAAATTTTTCTATCAAAACTTATCTAAGAATGCGTGCTCGAAAATACATTAATAATGTAGTGTGTATCTCTAACTTCATTTACATGCATTCATGTTCCTCTCATTCGTTTGCATACATTCCCGAAGAGAGTACTATGAATATATATATATACATATAGTATTATGT